TTTTATTTCTGAGAGTGATTTTTTGATTGTTTAGACATCACTGGTTATATGATTTATTTCAATGTTTTATATTAAAAATTAAATTAATTTAAATTTTTTTTGAAGGGTTAGAGTCCTCCTTTAGATCTGGACTGGCCCTTTAAATCACTGCAGTGATATATTGACATGTTTTTTGATAGGGTAGAGTTTCTCTTATTTGGACTGACCCTTTAAGACTATCATAATACTTTAACATTTTTTTAGGTTTATACATTTTATTTTTTATGTTATTATTCCCTTAGCCTCTTGATGTCTATGAGATCTTATTTGTGATGCGGTTTTGTATATACGGCCATCTGTCATCAGCAAGTCGGGTTTGCGGCTTGATTTCACATTGATGACAGCTGACCATTCCTAATGCAGTGCATATTTAATGAGGCTGCGACATCTGACATCCATCCGCTCCGTGAGGTCGATGACGAAACGCGTAGGACGGGGCTTAGATTGATGTGACGTCATTACGTTTCCCAGCGATCGACTGCGCGTGTGCCGATTGGCTGGGTTTGTTCATTGTGTTTCTTACATGCTGTTAACGCTGGTGTCGGCTGGGACACCTTTTGAGTTAAGTGCAATGAGTGCATAATAAATGAAGTTGTTTTAAAGGTACTGCACTATGAAGTTGTTGTTGTTGTTTTCCGAGTGTCTGGCATAACACCCTTTGGATATGAATATGGTGAAGTCTTGGAGAAGTGGATTTCCTTAGTGGTATATTTGATCACAGATCATTGCTTCTTTCACATTGGTTTGTTTGGAGTTGGTTTCTGCAGAATATCATTCCCTGAAGATCTATCCATGAGTGGCTCATTACCCTGCTAACCATCGCCCCCAGAGCAATATATGCTTCAGTTTCTTTTAGCTCTGGTGAGTTCATTTAGTACTTTTGGTGGTGGATTGTTACACATTTTTGCATCTTTTTTGGACTTGATTTTTACACATTCCATTTGGACACTTATGTATATATATATATATATATATATATATATATATATATATATATATATATATATATATATATATATATATATATATATATATTTTTTTTTTTTTTTTTTTTTTTTTTTTTTTTTATTCGTGTTCAAAGTCACATTTGGTTTTTTTTGGGGTATTAATTTACTTACTAGCGCAACTCAGAAACATACCTAACCTATATAATGGCTATTCCACAAGGTCAGAGAGAGCTTTGAATTTGCTTGTTCCACATTGTATGTTGGACTGAAGAGATCTGAAGTGAAACTGGGCAAAGGGAACTGCTTCGAAAGGAAGCTACCAACAAGTCCAGAACCCTCATACAGAAGCAGAGGGGTGCCGTTCTGACCTGTGCGGTTTGTAGCAAAGCAACTTTCTTCTGAGGAAGAAAGATTCGGGCTTGGTTTGTGTCCAAGATTACATCTCGACATGCAAGAGCTGGAGAGCAGACTTTGGAAAGCGAATTGTCCAGCTAAAAGTTTTAAGGAATTGAATTGTTCACAGAGCAGTCCTTCAGCAAGAGATCATTCAGGTAAGCTGCAACATGAATGCCCTGGGTCCTCACAAATGACAGAAGTGTGGCAAGCACTTTTGTGAACACTCATGGTGCAGAGGAGGGCCCAAATGGTAGTGCTACAAATTGGAAGTGTTGGTCTCCCACAGAAAATTGAAGAAGCAATGATGTGAGGGGAAGATGGGGATGTGTAGATAGAAATCCTGTATGTCTACTGATGCCAGAAATTACTTCCATGAAGAATTTTGGCACACAAATATGTTTAGAGATTTTATGTCCAGTTTTGGGCAAATGCTCCCACTTGCTTTAGGGACTGTAAATAGGTTTGAATTGAAATTTTGAAACCATTCTTTTGCAGAAACAGGCACAACCACTCTTTTTTGAAGTTGGTGTAAGGCAGTCATTGAATCTGCCTCCTTTTGGTCTGAAGCTGGCAGATTGAAAGGCAAAAAGCAAGAAAGGGGCAAAGAGAAGATCTATTTTGTACTCCTTTGAAAAGACAGACAAGAGGATGTCTTGGATTCACAGTAGCCCAAACTCCAATAGGTGTCACCACACTTCAAGAAGTGGGGGCACCCTAACATTGTGAGGATGGCTCCTGGACAAGATTGGTGTACTTGGAAATCCAAGTAAAAAAAAAAAAAAAAAAGTTTGGTTTTTGAGGCTGATGCCTGAGGAAAAAAAAAGGTCCCTTTTGCAGAGCAGTAGTCATAGCTATAGGAGTAGGAGGCTCAGGCTTTTTCTTGGGAGGTAGGAGTAAATTTTCCTCAGTGACTTCCTTGATTTATCAAGAGATAATCCCAAGTAGGCATTTACAAGTGTAGAAAACAACTTTTACAAGAGGGTTCAGCAGAACAAGCCTTTAACCACAAAAACCATTGCATTTGCACAGAGAAAAAGGGACAATCTAGAGACTTGGAAAAAAATACATTTTCTATAGGACATGGCAAGGCTGAGTTCATCATCTGCAATAGTTTTAAGAAAGCAAAGCCCTGAAAGGCAGGTTTCTGGTCTGTTTGTCTTGTCCAGTATGTCCATATATGTAACAAATAAGGCCCTTAAAGGAGAATTTACATTACTAATTACTGTATTTACAATATTTTATTAGCAATTACATTGTATTATTGTTAAATTCTGGTTCACTGTTACATATCACAATTATCCATGTCACATGTTATATAGAGATATGTGTGTAACAGCAGCATATAAAGAGTTATCATATTTTAAATATGAGAAGAAAAGCTTTTCTGTTTAAAAACTGTAAACACAAAAGAAAAAAAAAACATTACCAAGTGTGTGGTTTAAAAAATAATTTGCTGTAGAGTTGTTATTGACATGGAGTAAAACAGCCAATTAACGTCCGATGAATTACACCCATGCTCCAGCAGAGCTCCAATATCAAACGGGTCAAGGAGGTAATGATACAATCTATACAGTTAGGTCATGGATAGAAAGTTACTCACCGGAATTAAGGCATGAAACCCAGTTCCCGAAATCTTGTTAAATTTAGCAAAGCAACCTCAGGGTTTTCTAGGATAAAGCTGGAGTATTTTCAAAGAGCTCTTTTGAGCACCATTAAGATCTGTATTGCCAAACATCCCTAATAAGCTCATTTGGAGTTAAAATATTGGGGATTTCAAAGGTTTGTGAATTAAATTTTGAAATCTGGGACTAAATTGGTCTATACATAGGGAACATTCAAATATTATGTATCAGTGTATGAGGTCTCCATCAGCACACTTACATTTATGACATAACGGATTGTCCCTCCCCCCCCATTTTAAAAAGTCGCACTGGTGCATAATAGACCCTAGGAACGTAGCGTATTTGAATAAATTTGTCTCTAGCAGATATACACTATATTGCCAAAAGTATTGGGACGCCTGCCTTTACAAGAGCATGAACTTTAATGGCATCCCAGTCTTAGTCCAAAGAGTTCAATATGGAGTTGGCCCACCCCTTGCAGCTATAGCAGCTTCAACTCTTCTGGGAAGGCTGTCCACAAGGTTTAGGAGAGTGCCTATGGGAATGTTTGACCATTCTTCCATACGTGCATTTGTGAGGTCAGGCACTGATGTCGGATGAGAAAGTCTGGCTCAGTCTCCGCTCTAATTCATCCCAAAGGTGTTATATCAGGTTGAGGTCAGGAATCTGTGCAGGCCATCAAGTTCCTCCACCCCAAACTCACTCATCCATGTCCTTATGGACCATGCTTTGTGCATTGGTGCATAGTCAGGTTGGGACAGGAAGGGACCATCCCCAAACTGTTCTCACAAAGTTGGGAGCATAAAATGGTCCAAAATGTCTTGGTATGCTGACACCTTAAGAGTTCCCTTCACAGGAACTAAGGGGCCAAGCCCAACCCCTGGAAAACAAAACAAAAAAAAAAACCCACACCATAATCCCCCTCTACCAAACTTTACACTTGGCACAATGCAGTAAGGCAAGTACCGCTCTACTCACAACCGCCAAACCCAGAAACGTCCACTGAATTGCCGGACAGAGAAGTGTGATTCATTACTCTAGGAGAACACGTCTCCACTGCTCTAGAGTCTAGTGGTGGCGTGCTTTACACCACTGAATGCGATGCTTTGCATTACACGTGGTGATGTAAGGCTTGGATGCAGCTGCTCGGCCATGGAAACCCATTCCATAAAGCTCTCTATACACTGTTGTGCTAATCTGAAGGCCACACAAAGTTTGGAGGTATTTACCTATTGACTCTGCAGACAGTTGGCAACTTCTGCACACTGTGCACTTCAGCATGCGCTGACCCTACTGTCATTTTTCATGGCTGAGTTGCTGTTCTCAGTTGCTTCTACTTATTTATAATATCACTAACAATTGACTGAGGTCTATTTAGTTGCAAGGAAATTGGAAATTGACTTATTGCACAGGTGGCAACCTATCACGGTACCACACTTAAATTCACTGAAGCTCCTGAGAGCGACCCATTGTATCACAAATGTTTGTAGAAGCAGGCTGCATGCCTAAGTGCCTGGTTTTATACACCTGTGGAAATGGAGGTGAATCCAACAATTTGGAGGGGTATTCAATACTTTTGGTATTATAGTGTAATTGTGCTAAAGTAGGAAGCATAAATCTTTCAATCCTGTTCGTCCATTCCTGAAATGTCCCTAACGCATTGTGCCAGAATTCAAGATAGTCTAGATGAAATACCTAAAATACTGTAATCTGGTGATTAGTTTAGAATGAGATGGGTTTAGGATGGTGTTTTCTAAGGTAGAGGGCTGAAACACAAAACATTTCTTATACCAAACTGGGCTTCTGCAGTTGAAGGTATTGCAATTGCCACATAAGGGGAGACAGGTTGCTTGTTGAGCTCCTACTACCATTATATATGTTCAAAAGCAAAACACAGAATCTAGTTAAGGTTAGTTCAAAGCACATAGTATATAAAAAAAAAAAAAAAAAAAAAAAGGACATCTTGAATAACCAAAATAGTAATAAATGCACCAACCTTGATCATGTATTCAATGCGACTATGGGAATGCTTTTCTATAACAGACTCAATCCAGATGAGTGGTTTCACCTGGTAAAAAAAAGTATTTAAAATCAAATAAAAACCTTTTATTTCTCCCAAAAATACAGAATGGACTAGTTGGCTTTTACAGTCTATGTAAAGGAAAAACATTTTTTCTAGTTTTGAATATCATAGAGAAATGTTTAAACTCCAATCAGGTTATTTTTTTTTATGTCTCTGAGATTTCCCTGGAGATCTCTCCTACAGAACCAACAAGAAATTAGAGAATATTCCCAAAGTGAGGGAATTTCCCAACTTCGTTGTCACCTGAACATATTTTCCCCCCATCAGATGATTTGCTCTTACCCCTTTCTATGGTGGCAACTCCAAAATTTTGGATCTGCCCTCACTTTTTGTTTCAGTGATGAAAGTTTCCAAGGCAAATTCAGACAAAGACAGCAATTAAAAATTAATTCTAACCCCGCCTATCTAAAGCTTAAAACAAATTGCTCTATTAAAAAAATTTTTTAATTAGTGCAACATGTCTGCAATATTACGTAAGTGGAACATCTGTAAGAAAAGGTTAATAACTCACACTATTGTTTTGAATTACTACAGCACTTTCCCACTTTAAACGTGGTATCCGAGTCCAAAAATATAAAATTGGTGCAGACAGCTAAGCATTTGGCTGTCTTTGGCTTCAATTTTTCTAAATTGTTTTTATACAGCAAATGAACATTTATACAGCAAATAAAGGCAGCAGAATGCCTAATCTGTAGAATTGCTCCAAGTTAGTGTAATAAAGTCATTGGATGAGCAATACAGCCTGGCAACTACCATTTTCAGAAAAAATTATCCTTGTAGTGGTGGGGTGTTTATCCTGGACGTCTGCTTTTAAAGTAGAACTATAGGCAAAACTTTTTTGCTCATTTTGGATAGAGTACTATAGGTAGAGGGTTATAACCCCTTATCAGTTTTTTTTTGTCATCTGTGTCCCACTGGGGAGATTTCTCTTCACTTCCTGTCCCATAGACAGAATAGGAAGTGAGAGGAGATCCCTGCAAATTAAGGGAATCTGCTGGGGCTCCCCCAGGGCACCAGAACTAGTATCCGCATTGAAAGATTTCTTCTCTATTACTGTTCTGGGGGGGTGGGGGGAATTTTCTTTTACTTTCAATTTTCAATGATAATGGTAAACAGGACAAATAAGGAGGGTACATCTCCCTAACAGGGGAGCAGACAGCAATGAAAAAGTGACAGGTAATCAAATCCATCTCCACTCTGTCCAAAACCAAAAAAGTTTGCCTTTAGGTATACTTTAAGATGCAATCATAGGATAACCAAAAGAAAAAAAAAAGTTTAAAATAAACACTGTCATAGCGTTCTATTTGGTCCCACATGCCAGCCCAATTTGGTAACATACAAGTACACTTGCATGAGTGTGTTCAAGCGGTAAGACATGAGTTCAAACTCTCCATCTGGAGGTATGAAGGATATAGTCCTGTCATTTTCAAATCTGGATAGGCGAACACACTGGTGGAACTTGACATCCTCAAGCTCCACAGACTTGCTCTTTCCACCTAGAAGAAAGTGAATGATACAAATTAAAACAGATCAGTTCAGTTACAACTCCCAGCAAGATCTTTAGGCATGCATTTTCTGTCTGTCAAAATTTAGGCCCCGCACACATCTAGTGATTTTTGATCGCAGACGTAGTCACCATGATTTTGGCCGTGATTCCAAATCGCAATGCAAGCAAAACACACAGCGCGTGTTTGCGTGCCATTCATTTTTAATGGCTCCTAAAACATGATGCGGTTTTGCTGTGATTGTCACGTGACAAACCACATTATTCAAAGCTCGTCGCCCAAAAGAAGCGCCTGCTCCTTTTTGGGTGACAAGCTTTGTGTGGTGCGCTTTGCCACGACCTCTGTGCTATAAATTGGGTGACAATCGAGGCAAAACCGCACATTTTAGAAGCCATTAAGAATTAATGGAACACAAACAAGCGTGGTGCATTTTGCCAGCACTGCAGTGTGGTTTATAACTGCGGCGATTACGCCTGTGATCCTAAATCGCATTACTGTTCAACTCCCTTTCAAGGCTTAAAGCATGGTTATGGACAGAATGATAAATTAGATATACTTTTTTGTACAGAATGTTTTATATTATAGCACTTTTGCAAAATAAATGTTCTAGTATTAAAAGTATCCCACTGCCACAATGGCAAGGTGTATATGAATCACAGGCACTGCAATAATTAACTGATGAAGGCACTGCATATACAGCTTCACTCCTAAGGGCTCACGTACACAAGCAGATGCTAAACTCGAGATTAGGAGCTTTTGGCATTTTTTTGCAAAAGCTCCTAAACTCAACTCTATAAAAGCCTATGTGTCCATGTACAAATAGGCTTTTAGCAGAGTTTAGCAGCTGCCGCTATTAGACAAAATATTATCAAAAAAGTTAATTTACTTACGGCCTGTATTTTCAAACAGAACTTTATCATTTAATCCAAGGCGTAATTCAGGCATTCCTGACAGAAATACCCTCATTTTGATGGATCCAACTATTTCACTGCGCAAGACATTTCCATTTGCACTCACCTAGAACAGGAAAAGACAGCAAAGTGAAAAATGAACAGCACAGCTTTTGAAGGGAGAATTCACATATAAAAGTAAATCCTCCTAAATATAGTGCTCAGTTCTGATTGTACATAATACCATGTTCCACCTTCACCTCTTCAAAAGGAAAGACTTAGCGATGCAGGTGGACGTTAAGAATATAGAAGTCTAATAGCTCCATCACCTAAAGCAACTGGTATAGCTACTTTAAAAGGAAGCTGCACTCCAGATGAGGTCACACCAGACAATTAAGTGATGTGGTCTTGACGTTTAGTCATAACTCCAAAAAATGTAAAACTATTTATTGGCAGATTCATATTTATACATGTTAAAGTGGTACAAAACTGCAAAAAAAAATGTGAGCAGGCAGACTTTTTATTGCAGAAGAGACGTGCTATGTCTTTTCTGCGATAAAACAAACCTACCTGCCTGTTCGCAATCTTCTTTAGAATATACAGTGCCTTGAAAAAGTATTCATACCCCTTGAAATTTTCCACATTTTGTCATGTTACAACCAAAAATGTAAATTTATTGGGATTTTATGTGATAGACTAACACAAAGTAGTATATAATTGTGAAGTGGAAGGAAAATGATAAATGGTTTTCAACTTTTTTTTTTTACAAATAAATATCTGAAAAGTGTGGCGTGCATTTGTATTCAGCCCCCGAGTCAATACTTTGTAGAACCATCTTTCGCTGCAATTACAGCTGGGTATGTCTCTACCAGCTTTGCACACCTAGGAGAGTGAAATCTTTGCCCATTCTTCTTTGCCAAAAAGCTCAAGTACTGTCAGACTGGATGTGAACAGCAATTTTCAAGTCTTGCCACAGATTGTCAATTAGATTTAGGTCTGGACTGTGACTGGGCCATTCTAACACATGAATATGCTTTGATCTAAACCATTCCATTAGAAAACAAACGTAACCAGCGCTCCAGTCTTCATACAACCAAGAAGATGCCAAAATGCCAACCGAAGAGGTGCAGCCCTTCTAAGATCGGGAAATCTGAGCGCTAATGAAAAAGAACAGACAAGGGCACACGCTCATCGTGCATTACCATGGTAAAACACGTATTTATTGAAAAAAGAAGATATATACTCACAAACCAGTGTGACTAAAAGCAGTATTATGTGGTCCACAAAGACAGTCACAGTACATCTTTGTCTAATGATGCGTATGAGCTGATGCGTTTCAGAAGCTAAACCCCCTTCCTCAGAGCTAAAGATGCTCCTACTGGCCACAAGCCTATATACTGATGGAATATCAGAAGGAGGGTGGATTAAGCCCTCCCACACAGCTGACAAAAAAAAAAAAAATGGATGCGCTAATGAAGTGATAATGTAATAAAGATATAGAAATAAATAAATAAAACTGCAGATGCATAATGCATAGTGTATAATGGAACACTGATGAATGATATAACACTCATAAATGATGTATAAATGGATGAAAAAATGAATATATGATACATAAGTGATACATGATAAATAGATGTTAGGGGCATACTAACCTTTAAGGAAATGACCCTGATGATGGATGTACCACTGTAAACTGTCCATATGAAGATGAGCTGCCACCGCCCAGGAACATGTAAATAAACCATGAATACTCGTGAAACAACACGACGTAATAACGCCACACTGATAGGCGGGGACACAAGGGGCTCATAGTGTTAGTGGGACACGCACCACGTCCCATATAACCTTGTAACCGATGCCCGGGCCGTGCACGTGTCAGAAATACAATACGGATAACGCTTGGCTGGCGTGACGCGACCCGCCGGCGCGTGCGTGCCGCACACCACTGGTCACGAACGTACCACGTGCACGCACTGCTCCAGACGTACAGGCCGCGCATGCGCCAAAATTCCTCACAGTACAGCAGATTAAAAAATGATCTATAGGAGGAATGAAAGGAAGAATGTAATATGTAAAAAAAGGTGTAATACTCTAAATAGCCCCCAAGCTGCACTGCTAATTGCAGCCATATGGATGTATCTGCAATATATATAAACTAAGGGAGAAAAAAAAATTATTGAAAAATAGAAAAATTAATATTAATTTGGAAAAAAAAAAACCCATTTGATTGTATATATATATATAAAGAATAAAAATACAGTAGAGCACAGACTGGGCCAGTAGGGACGCATCGTAGATGTACATAATGAAATGTAAATAATAAAATAACCATACAAAAATATATAATAAAGCAATAGAATGGTATAGTACATCTGAAACTTAAAAAAAAAAAAAAAAAAAAATGATTAATTGAAAAGGAAAATTGACACAAATTAATTAAATTAAATTATTATTATAATAAAATTGTATTAATACACTACTATGAACAGAGTGTATTCACAAAGTGCACTGTGTGTATACACAGTGCACTGTGCAAATTTGTTAAAATACATATTCAATAAAAAGAAATAAAATAAACTGTTCATGAATGATAAAAATGCAACATCAAGAAACAAAAAAAAAAAAAGGAAAGTATAAATTGATGATAATATACCATTCAAATATGAAAATAAATGAGTATAAAAATGTATGTGATAAATTGTAGCGATTCAGACAAATAGCAATACAAAGTATACTAGAAAAAACAAATATCATAAAATATTATATCATATCTCATATCATATATGTACAAGGTATTTAAAAAAGATCAGTAAATGCATATGGTAAAACATGTGCAGAAACAAACAGAACAAAGAATGTGGTCAAGAAGGATGGGGCCATTAATCAATATATGCCACAAGAAGACTAAACCAGAGATTGTATGTCAAGGGCATCATTAAAGCCCTTGGGTAACAGCGTGTCAAGTTTATGGATCCAGTAGGATTCCTGTTGGCAGAGTTTACAGAATCTTCTACCTATATGAATGTCTCCTGATATGCTCTCTATGCCAAACACCTTAAGGCCAGCAGGATCTTCGTCATGTTTTCCGCTAAAGTGACAAGGCACTGTATGTTTATCAAATCCATGCAATATATTACGTTTGTGCTCACCAAATCGAATCCTCAAGGAACGTGTGGTGTGACCCACATATAAAAGACTACATGGGCAAACCAGACAATAAATGACAAACTGTGTGCTACAGTTGATGAATTGACCAATGGGATAGATTCTACCATCAGTGCCCATAAAATCCCTTTTTCTGTGCCACATAAAGGGGCAAGCCCCACAATTCGCTACCCCACACTTGTAGCTCCCTTTCTGATCGAAAATGATATTCCATGCGGAAGTGGGCCGTGTTGTAGTGGATTTGACTCTACTGGGAGCAATCATGCTCCTCAAATCACATGGGCGTCGGAAGATTACTTCAGGCCGTGCCGACAGGAGTGTAGAAAGATGAGGGTCTTGGGCCAAAATGCCCCAATATTTAGTCAATATTCTCTGGATGTTGAAGGCCTTCTGGTTATATCTTGTACAGAAGGCGATACGGTGTGTTTCTTTATTGATATTGGGAGCATTGGCCTTTACTGCAACATGGGCCTCCGCAGATGGGACATTGGTCTCAGGATAAAGGGATCTGTATTTCAGATACGCCTCCTCGATGTTGGTGGCTGCATATCCCTTTTCAAGAAATTTTTTCTTGAGTAATGTACTCTGAATATCATAATCCTGCAAAAGGGTACAGGTTCTCCTGAGCCTACAGAATTGTCCAAAGGGTACGTTCTTGATCCATCTGGGGTGATGGTGACTCTTAGCATGTAAATAGGCATTCCCAGCTGTGGGCTTAAAATACGTTTTGGAAACTATCCGTGAATCGGGACCCACTTTAAGTTCCAAATCGAGGAACACAATGTTTAAGTCGTCTACCACATAGGTGAATTCTATTCCATAAGGGTTGGATTGACAATGGGAAATGAATTACTTTAAACTGGTGAGGTCACCATCCCATATAATAAGGATGTCATCTATATACCGGGAGTATAGTACTAAATTTGCACCAAATGGGTTATGCTGCCAGATGTAATTCTGCTCCCAAAAGCCCATAAAGAGATTGGCATAACTCGGAGCAAATTTGGCTCCCATGGCTGTGCCTCTGATCTGCCTGTAGAATCTATCCATAAAGGTGAAATAGTTGTGGGTGAGAGTATACACCTTAAAAGAAACGTAATCTGGGAGGGATGAAGAGAATGGTCCTTGGCTAGGAAATATTGTACTGCCTGAAGACCAAACTCGTGGCGAATGCTCATGTATAGGGAGGACACATCTAAGGAAACCCACTTGTAGCTATTCTCCCACCCGATAGTTGGACAGGATTTCCAATATATGGCCCGAGTCTCTCACATAAGAAGGTAACTCCACTACTAGCCTCTGCAAAAAATGATCAATGTAGTTGCCCAAGTTGCTTGTGAGGCTATCAATTCCTGATATGATAGGCCTCCCTGGAGGATTTGCGGCATCCTTATGTATTTTGGGAATATGATACAGATGCGGTGTCATGGGATAGGGTCTATAAAGAAAAGCCAACTCTTGTTTAGTAAGTATTTTATCTATGACTGCAGCGTCAAGTAAAGTTTTAAGAGTGGCTCTATACAGGACAATGGGATCCCCAGAGAGTGGTTCATAGGTGTCCGTGTCTCCAAGGAGTCTCTGTGCCTCCATCAAATAGGCCTCCTTGTCCATAATAACTAAACCCCTTCCTTTGTCTGCCTGCCTGATGACCACATTGGAGTTCTTTTTTAAAAACTCCAATTGTTTATCCTTCATAGTCATATGGGCACAATGGTCTAGATGGGATCTGCGGCACATGGTTCTGAACTCTGAATACACCACCTCATAGAAGGAGGATATATGATTTCCTTTAGCCCAATGCAGATAAAATGTAGATTTGGGCTTGAACCCAGTATGTTCAATGTGGTCGCTATAGAAGGGCCCACTACTATCTATCGTCAAGGGGGCGAATGAATCAAGGTTTACTGATTTACTGATCTTTACTGATCTTTTTTAAATACCTTGTACCTATAGGATATA